TAGAAGAGGATTAAAACCTATATAATAAAGGTTCCATCCACCAGGTTTAGAAGGTGAGACTTAAACCAAGACTTGAGGAAGTGGTAAGTCACCCTGCCTGCAAAAACTGCCTTAGAATTTAAAGGTTTTTGGCATTCATTTGCTGAACACCGAGAGCTTCCGGTCAGAGAGGTAACTAGGAAGGGGTGACCACCACCCTTTCATACCTCAGGGGCCTTAGATTCTAAGTGAGGCCTTGCCTAAGGTCACCCGGCAGCAGAAAGGTTTCCACTGCACATCTCCTGGTTCCTGAAGTGTTTGGGCCACCATCACCTGACCACGAGCGTGAACAGGGTTTGTTCCCAGCCCAAGGGTCCTGAGGCCTGTAGACCGTGGAGTGAGTTTGCTCCGAGCCACGTGCCTTGAAACCAGACGCGCAGGGCCTGGCACAGAATCTGGTGGGGGGGGCCATTAACGATCCCTCGGGTGCAGGCTCCGAGGACCCAGCTGCAGCGTAGGACGCCGGCGGTGTGGGGGCGTGGCCTGAGCGAAGCCTGCGGGGCGGGGCTAGCGCTGGTCTCTGCCCTTCCCTCCATCCCGCCTCTCTCTGGTGTCGTTAGTAGTCAGCTTCCGCTGCCGAGGTCCCTTCCAGGGTCAGCCCGACCTGGGAGAAGGACTGGAGGAAGAGTACAGCGCAGGTCAAGGCAGATCCAGGAGGGCGGCGCAGGAGGGCAGGAAACTGCCCGCAATCTGTTTTGGAGGGAGGGGGAGGGAGGCCCCGAGTGTCCTTCGTTGGACCGGAGGGTGGAGGGCAGGAGGGCTGAGAAGCAGAGGACAGTGAGCCTAGGCTCTGTGTGGGTAGGAGCTGAGCTGCCTCCACTCAACTTTGGCAAGAGGTGGGAGGGGGTGACCGCGTCTGGGTCCTTGGCAATGGTGGACCAGCTTTGGGTCCTGACAGTGGGGTACTGAGTCTTGGGGTCACCCAGTACGCCAGATGGCAGGACTTCTGCTAAAGGCTGTGTGATGCACTCTGGTGTTTAAGGTGTGTGTCGAAAGCAGGAGGAGAGGGAACAGAGTTCCAGGTGGAGGCACAATGAGTGCAAAGGCCCTGGGGTGGGAGCGAGAGTTGGAGGCCGAGCCAGGATGCTGGGTGTTTGGAGCAGAGTGAGGAGGGGAAGAGTGAATTGGATCTGAATGAGGTCATTCAGGAACCAGAGCCAGATCACAGGGCAGGACCGGCAAACAGGTATCTGTGGCAACTATTCAACTCTGACATAAACAGGTGTGCGGAGTCTGGGCAGCTCTAGAGTTTTCTCTGAGCCTCCAGAAGGAGAAACTGGAGCTGCCATTAATGGGGGGGCACCCAGCTGGGAGCGAGCTGGTTTTCGAGGCTTGCAGGAGTTCATGCCCATGTGCACTGGGCACCATGTGGTGTGGAGGAGGCGCTGCGTCTGCCCTGGGTTGGTCTGCAGTCAGTGGAGAGGTCTGGCATTGGAGGGGCAGCATCAGGACTGTCTGGGGACCAGGCCTGGAGTCTTGGGGGACCCCTGGGGATGGCCATGTCGCCAGTGCTGCCCTCCCCCAGACCCCACCAGAGAACTGCAGGGCCTGGAGTGGGTGTCCGGAGGCGCAGTGCAAAGTGGGGCAGAGAGGTCGGCTGCTGGGGTGCTGCCAAAGGCGGCAGGTGCCCAGCGCTCTGTCCTCTCCCTGTTTGATTGTTATTTCTGTTTTTCAGAATTGGAGAGGGAACCCAGGGCCCTGTGCATTCCAGGCAAGCTCTTAGCACTGAGCCACATGCCCGCCCAACCCTGCTGATTGACCGGGTCCGACTACCCAGGACACAGCTGTCCCGAAGCCCATGGAGCCGAGACCTGTGACCAGCCACAAAGAGAATGTGCCCCTGAGACCTGCGGCCGCCCTGAGGCCAGGCAAGAGGCCCAGTGGGCCTGGGTGGGCCGGTGTGGACATAGGGTCCCCTCTCGTGGGCCTGGCTGGGGCCTTCCGAATCCTAGGGATTGGCTGGCTTCCCAGGGTGGTCTGAACACAAGACTAAGTATCAGGGAGGGGTGTTGGGTCTGTGTCCCCACGAGAGGCCAGGAAGAGGCAGAACCGGGCACGGGCGTGGGCCTGGCTGTGGCACCGGCTGACAGGTTCCACGGGCCATTCTGTGCCAGGGGTGGTGGGCTGGGGACCCGCCTGCTTGGGCTCCTGGGGCCGGAAGAAGGCCACAGGGCTGCTTGGGTCAGCCCAGCACAAGAGAAACCCGACTAATTCAGGTTCACATTCAGTTTCTTCGTATGCTAGCTGTGTGACTGAGGGACAAGTGGCCCACCATCTCGGAGCTTTAGTTTGTACGCACAAAAGCAGTCACTTTTTTATGGCCTTCTCTACCTGCCAGGCCCTGTAGCTCATCAATCTCTGCAAGCTGTCTTTGCACAGTGAGGGGCCTGGGGGGCCCCGCCTCCCCCAGAGCAGCTCCCTTTTAGCTGTTTGATACGTCAGGTCTTGCCCAGCCTGCTGCTGGCCTTGGCCTCTGCCCAAGCCAGGAATCAAAGAGGGACCCTTGATTCTTTGCCTTCCTTTCCTCCTTTTCCTCCTCCGTTTATTTATTTATTTTATTTTTTTATTTTTTGCAGTACTAGGGCTTGAACCCATGGCCTTTTCACTGAGCCACATCCCCATCCCATTTTTTGTTGTTGTTTTGTACCACAGATTGAACTCAGGTCCTCATGCTTGTGACGCAGGCGGTGGAACCACTGAACTAAATCCCCCATCCCCATCCCTTTTAAAATTTAAAAAACTCTGCCGGGAATGGTTGTGCATACCTGTAATCCCAGCATTCGGGAGGCTGAGGCAGGAGGATTGACGTGAATTTGAGGGCAGCCTGGGCTCCAAACTTCTTGGCTCCTTTCCCAGCTCATCTAAATCTTCTGGTACCCAGCCCTGACCCAGACACTATCAGCAGTTTCCCTGTTGTCTCCGTGGGGCTCCAGGGAGTCAGGCCTGTGCCACACTCAGGGCCAAGGCCCTGTTGCTGAAGTCCTGGCTCCTTCCAGGACCCTGTCCCTGCCTGGCTCTGAGGCCTGGACGCCCCCCTGTCCCACCTGACCACTCACCACCCCAGTCCTTCCCAGGCCAAGACTGTCTCTCCTCTTCGTAGAGCAACGGAAATTCCTGAGAACCCTGGGTGTCAGCCTGGGCAGTGGCCATGGCCCGTGGGTTCCTGTGTGCCAGGCTGCAAGGGGAGGACCTGCAGCCACCTGCTCCCCAAGGGCTACACTGTACCAGGAGCCCCGCCAGGTCCAGACCAACCTCGTCAGCCCTCATCCCGTGCCAGCCCTACAGGACATGCTGGGCCGGCTGGTGAATTCCAACTTCCTGCAACAAAGCAACCTGCAGCCCCGTACCCCGAGGACCCCAGAAAAGGTTCCTGCGGCCCAGCAGTGTAACCTGCGCCTGAGCATGGCTACCAGCCCTCTGCACCAGGACAGCCTCGGGGTGCTGGCCCCCCGCCTGTTGCAAACACCCCCAGCTGCAGAGCCCCACTGCCCAGACCCCAGGCCCACTGCAGGCGTTGCACCTCTGTGTGGGCGCACATGGCCAGGCCCCCGATTCTGGGGTGGCCTTGGGGGCCGGACCTCTAAGCTCACAGGGGAGCCCCTCACCCTGGAGGACCTGGCTATCCCTGCCCTGAGGCAGGCTTGGCACCCGTCCCACGCCCCCATCCACCAGCCCCTGGCCTCTGTGCAGTACCTGGAGCACCAGGCAGCCCGTCTCAGGGGCCAGGTGCCCCGGGAGCCCCCAAGCCCTGCACAACGGGACCCCTGCCCAGGCAGTGGCCAAGGCCTTCCTGCCCACCCCCAGTCCAGCCGGCCCCTTCTTGCTTCCTGGGATGAGAGGAGGAGACACCCCCGAGGCCACAGGGAAACCACAGATCTCTTGGTGGCTCAGGGGCCCCACACTGATCGCTCCGACTCTCGGGCACCCAGCAAGCCAGCATCACCCAAGACTACTTTGGGGCTGCGGACTGGGCACTACCATGACTCCGAGCAGGCGACCCTTCCTGCCCAGCCTCTCAGGCCAGGAGATGAGGGGGCCCCAGGGCCTACACATGGCAGTGGGGACAGGGGGCACCCTGCTGGCTCTCTGGGCTTCTCTAGCGCAGCCACAGCGGGGAGCGTCCTACCTGGGCGGGAAGGAGACGTGCACATCCCGAGGGAGCTGGGAAGGAGGAAAGCTTCCTGGTCTCTGGATGTCGATGTCTTCCTGGCGAGGAGGGCTGTCCTCCAGGTAGAGCCCAGGGAGGCTGGGCGAGGTGGGGCTCTCAGCGGGGCTCCCTCACCTTTGTCCTGAGGGCTGCACCTGTCCTCTTGCTTCTCCAGAATAAGGCCCAAGACTGTGTGGCCCCAGAAGGGCACCCTGCAGCCCGGTGAGGCCATGGCTGAGTGTGGTGGGGTGGGGTCACCGGGAATGATAAACCGAGGCCGACACCCTGGAGGAGGAAAGGCGTGTTCTGTGCCCCACGCTTCCCCACCTCTCTGTGGGCCAGAGGGAGGCTCTGCTGGGCTGAGGTGGGGACTCAGGGTCGCCCTCGTGATGGCTGAGAGGCCACAAGGCCATGGCAGCTGCAACTTCTCCCTAGGTGGGAAGCGTGGGTCTGCCCTGACCAGCCCTGCTCCGTCCCCAGCCGGCAGCTGCTGTCCAGATGTTTCCGATCCTGGAGACGCATGGCACACAGGGTTCTGAGCCACAGGCAGCTGCTGCGAGAGGGCTTCCGGGCACTGCAGTGGACCCTGTGGCTCCAGGAGGCCCGGCTGGAGGTGGCATGGAGGCGACATTCAAAGGCCCTGCTGGCCCAGACCTTCCGAGAGGTCAGACCGGGAGGAGGTGATGGAGCTGGGGTGTGTCGGGAGGGGGCCCCATAATCACTGATCAACAGGAGAACATGCAGTTAAGAGTCCAGACTCCAGAACAGAACCTCCTCTGCTTGAGTTCGAATCCTACCTCTGCCAAATTTGCGAGGCTGTGTGACCTTGGCCAAGTTGGTTGTCTTCTCTGTGCCTTAACCTCTAAAATGAAATAGTAATCATATATACCTCTTAGGGTTGTTGTGAGATAATTAATAAAAGACTCAGATCCTTGCCCAGCACATAGCAAACACTGTACCACATAAGTGGCTGCTATTTTTGCTGGGTGTGGTGACGCACGCCTGTGGTCCCAGTACCTGGGAAGCTGAAGCAGGAGGATCACCCCAAGTTCAAGGCCAGCCTGGGCTACTTATTTTTTTTTAGGCTACTTATTGAGTTCAAGGCCAGCCTCAACTACATAGCAAGACCCTGTCTCAAAAAAACTTAAAAAGAAAGAAACAAAAATACAAAACTGGTTGCTATGTTTTATTACGGGCTTGCCGGACAGGACTGGAAGGGTGCATGGGAAAGGCGTGCCCGGTCCTCCTGAGATTTTTTTTTCTCCCAAAGAAAACCCTGCCTTGGGCCGGGGATTTAGCTTAGTGGTTCTGCTGCCTGCCTTGCAAGCACAAGGTTCCAAGTTCGATCCCCCATACGAAAGAAAAGAAAAGCCCGCCTCTTGGGACCCATCTCTTTGTCCACTCACTCATTCCGAGGGGTCAGGGTAGTCTAATGGTTAAGGCCAGAGGTGCCGGGGTCCCCTAGGAGGGTTAGGCTTTCTGGCACCGTCTGATACTCCCTTGGGGTGCACATTGAAGGCGGCAGCTGATGACCCCCCTTTTCCCCCAACCCAGTGGAGACTCCTGGTGCAGCGGGAGAAACAAGGGCAGCACCTAGTCCAGGCTGCGTCTGGACCCTGCACTTCCTGGGGCGCCAGGGACCAAGTCACCTGCTGGGGAAGAGAGGCAGTGGGGCGCCCCACCCCGAGCAGCAGGTAGGCTGGGCCCCCAGGGTGGTCAGGGCAGCTGGTGGCCTCCCTCCACCTAAGCATGGGAGATGCTTAGGAATACTTAAAATTCCTCCCTCTCCTCTTTCTCCTCGACTTTTTTCTTTTCAATGTCTTTATTGGTTTTATTTCCAATCATAGCAGTAGTGCATGCTTGATTTAAAAACATTCAAGCTGGGCATGGTGTTGCACACCTGTGATCCCTGCCCAGCACATAGCAAGCACTCTACCTGTGATTTTTTTATGTTGATATATTTTATTTTTCAATTCCATTCTTTTATATACATGTTTTTGGTAATTACAGTGAAGATACTGGTGGAAAGAAATCCATTTAACACTTCTTTTTTTTTTT